AAGCCTCGTGACAAAAAGACGAGGAAGCAATGAGGGCTTCTGGAGTAGGGTTCGAGACGATGAGCATCAGCCGGGGTTCCTGAGGCGGGCGTGGGACCAGGTCGACTCTGTCCGATGTCCAGCCTCGGTGGCCTGCTTTGAGGTCCAAGGGCACGACCTGCAGCACGGCTCCTGCCTGGGTGCAGCGGCCGGAAGAATTCATGGACGAGGCCTATCTGGTGCTCCTTTTCTGGACCACTGACTGATCATGCGGATCGGGAGTCGCGACCCGCTGTGCTGAGTTAGCCGCCGTCGTGTGTTCTACAGCAATGCTGCACACAGTAGCAAATCCGTGTGGGGCGACCGTGCCATGCCGAGCACCCTCCGTGCCACTTCTGCCCTGCCGCACGACGACCGACACAACCACAACAGGACGACAGTGCTCCAAACCGGGAGGCGGTGTTTTCCTTGTCTAACCTTAACAGGCAGAAACACTTTGCGCTCGACAGGGTCGTACAGAAACGCAGCTGAACTCTGGACAGTTTAGGACTGCCTGCTACACATGCTTGCCATTATCCTGTACACAGTTTTGAACTTTATTGCTTTTCTATCTCCTCTTCTTTAGTGTGCTTCATAAAGTTTTTCTTTCCTTCTCTTTAACTCTGAAGCATTCCTACAAATCATTTCTCGTACGGCAGCAGCAACCCACATGACGAACGTCCATAATCATTTTCCTCTGGCAACAGGTGGATAGCTGTGGACACAGACCCCCCGCCACATGCTACGCCATCACACGAACTCTTCCAACAAGCTGTACCACAAATTTCGTGGACTGCCTTCTACGCGACGTGATTTTGCAACATGGAGCTCCATGCCAGGAGCTTACAGATCGTGGCCGCACCTTTCTATCGAAGGTCATAGCCGATACTTTGCAATCATGTGAAACGAGGCACAAGCTCACTAAGTCGCACCATCCGCAGACAAATGGAATCGTGGAGCGTCTGAATCAAATACTTAGACATGCTTGCAAAGTATGTTTCTTCCGACCGCTCCGACTGGGACCTTGCTTTACTGTACGTGACATTTGCATATAGTTCTTAGTGCCATGACACTGCTGCTTACTCTCCATTTTTTCTGTTGCTCGGCCGAGAACTTGCACCACCCCAAGATACAGTCATCTTGTCTACCACTGTACCGACCAGCGAATATGCCCTTGATGCTATCACTCAAGCTGCCCATGCACGCGAAATCGCCCACACATGCCTTCTGGCCTCTCAAGAGAACTAGCGGCGTTTGTACGATCAACAGCACTGCGACGTGCGCCTTTTGCCCAGTTGATTGGTCCTGCTGTGATCCCCGACCCGTCACATTGGCTTGTCGAAAAAACTGCTTTCTTATTACACAGGTTCATACCAAGTCCTTCATGAGATTACTCCTGTGACATATGAAATTGCCCTGGTCGCCTCATCGCCTTCAACTGCCCCACAGACCACTGATATCATACATGTAGCACGCTTGAAGCCTTACCACTCTACCAATAACGTTGACATCTGAATGCGCCGCGACGGCGCTTTTGCCACTGGAGATTTTTCTACATGCATAATGACATTTACAGGAATGATGCACGTGTGTGCCTTACGAAGAGGACAAAGGGCTGTCTCCACTCTGTTGCTGGTTTACCAACCATGCCGCCACTGCTGGTTATAATACATTTTGTCTACAGCCTCATCACTCCAGCGTCATGCCTCTCACATAACAATAGGAACACAAAGAAATAAGTGGATATTTGCCTAAAATCCGGTCTCTAGTCATGACATTTACATTGCATTTTTAAACGACGTACAGTATCGGTGGGATGCAAGCGGAAATTAGCCGACAGTGCATCGCCGTCTTACAACATGCGGCTAGGATGCATGCCACACACTGCCGTATCCACATCCAAATCTAATAGCAGGCATTTTTTTTTGTCCCTCAGTTTTTTTTGTTGTTGTTCATTCTGCACTTCCGATCTGTTCTTAGTTTTCTGCTTTGTTTGATTTTTAGTGTTCTTTTTTTCTTCGTTCATTGAATATGAACAGCGGCATGAGAAGACCGCTTCGTTTAAACTACTAATTGATGAGTTCACCGAAGCAAATGGAAACACGGTCACTCAGTGCTGCATTGGCGTTTCTGAAAAAAGCGTGCGCTATTGGAAAGTGCAGAAAGAGAAGCTGCGACAGTGCAACCCTTGAAAAATGTCTTTCAAGGGCGAAGTGCAGTTCATCCGCAGCTGAAGGATACCCTCACGGACTTGGTGCGAGAAATTAGTGTGCGCTCGCTGCCAGCGACCGTGGATACCATTTGCAACAAATCCGTGGAGCCCGCTCAGGAAACTGGGCTCACGAGAGAAGAGTTCTGTGCACCAAACTGGTGGGTGTGTCAATTGATGAGACGCAAAGGATTTTCTCTCCACCGGCACACATCCATCTATCAGTGCAGTGAAAAAGCTGACAGAGGAGTTTGAGGACCAGCTTGTGAACTTCCAGTGCTTCATGAACTGACTTTGTGAGCAGACTAGTCCGTGATAGGGCAAATAGGCAATGCTGATGAGACCCCCATCTGGTTTGACATGTCTTCGTCAACTGCGATCACAAAGTGCAGCAACAAAGATGTGAAGCTCTTGTCCACTAGCAACGAGCCCATCATCAATTCTTCCTTGCACAGTAGCCAATAGAAAGCCGTCGCCCTTTGTAATATTCAAACAAAAAACAATGCTGATGGAAGCGTTCCCGCCCAGTGTTCTGATTTGCGTGAATCTAAAATGATACGTAGACGAGGTCATGATGCTTGAATAAATAGGAGTAATCTGGAACCATCAGCCAGGTGCATTGCTGTGTCCTTACAGTATGCAGGTACTGGATGTGTTTCGTGGTCACCTGAACAATGCTGTGAAACGCGCACTTGGCAATAGAAAACCGAACCTCGATGCGACACCAGGTGGTATGATGTACCCTCTCCAGTTGGTCGACATTGTGCTGAACAAGTCGTTCAAGGATTGAGTGGGGCTGGAGTATTAGGAATCGATGTCTGGCGGCAACCCGAAAACCGCGATGGGCCACCTACAGAGGAGGCCTGGGACTGGATGCTTTGCACCTGGCGTTCATTGCCAGATTCCATAGTGGAAAATACTTTTAAGAAATTAAGAAAAGTTTCATCAGCGATTCGTTCGACAGCATGGAAGATGACGCACTGTAGGAGGCGGCCAGGCACAAACTCTTGTCTTCAGAAGACAGTGATGCTTTGTCTGATCAATAAGAACAGATGCAATGGTGGTTCAGGGAAGCTCCGATGATGGCTGGGCGGTGGGCCCGATTCGCAAATAAATGTGTTTCGGCAATTTGTGCCTTGTTTTCTTTCTTTTTTTTCTTTTGATCACCTTGACTTGGAGGATCGACCTATTTTCCCTCTCAATATATAGTGCAGTTTATACAGTTGCTTCCCAGTCATGACACAAAATTCTGATTGAAGACCAATAAAAAAAACTGTTACCGTGCCTACGGTTGAAGTTACAAAAACCCACAAAATGAAAATTAATGCGAAGCTGTCCCCTAAAGTGTTCTTCGTAACCCAGTCAACAATTTCAATATTTTAGTTACAATATAGACCACTTATAACGTAACTGCTTATAGTACAGAACCGCTTACAATACAGTCTTTTTCTACTCCCGTTTACCATCCCAGAATACCCCATGTATACGCATACTGCTTACTGTGCAGTCCCTCAATGCGGTTGCCGGAAATTGTTTGCGACAAATGCGGTAGCGAGTGCGCTTCTGAAAGGAGGCGCGCTGGGTGTGCCGCAAGGGCTGTGAAGCGCAAGGGCTGTGCAGCGCAAGGGCTGTGAAGCACCGGCGAAGCGAAAAAACATTCCACGCTGCATGCACCCTGCCGCCCTTTCTCTAGCAGTGAGGTCGAAAGACTGCGCAGCAAAAACTGTATCACTGCCGGGCCAAGCCGCTGCTTTATAGAACAAAGGAACGATAAATGAAGCCATAGCAACGCAATATTGGCCATGGGCAAGATTACAACAGTTTGCATGCAAAAAAAAGGACATGGGACAGGTTTTTTAAAATTAACTTATTTAACTTACCACGTTCATCTTGCAAGAAAAAATTGCTGAGCTTTGTGCTCGCATTCCAGCGAGCTCGTGAGCTCGTTCCATCGTTCCAGGAAGAAAACGAACAGCTATCTTGTTTGTTCTGGGCTTATAGGGACGCTAATAAACGTCTTTCTGACTTCTTGAATCTGTGTTGGCTGTTCGAACGGCCACATATTTTACAGTGCATCCACAACATGAAGCACTGTGATATTCACAAAATGTGATCGCCCCAGCCTTTTTCACAAATTAGCGACCTTGCTTGGGAGATGTAAAAATAAAATAATTTTAAAAATTTTTTATAAGGCGGAGCCTGTTCGATGGCCCCTCAATTAAAGAGATCTGTTTCCAGGTACTTTGCTTTACCTGATACTTCCAACATGTTTACTAGCTTGTACAGCTGCTTTAGACTTGGCACATAAGTGTATAATGTATGTTATCATTTCACAAAGGCCGAGCAGTAAACATAGGTTTGAAAGTAAATGAAAAACAAGAACTTTAACTTTTTTTATAACGACCAATAAGATACAAGACGAAATGTGATGCCTTTAGAGGGTTCGTGCGTTCTCTATGGCAAAGTTTGCATGCAGCTACGGCAGTGTTGAAACAATCTAGGAGCTTATGCACATTCGTACCTTTCAGTAAAGCCTAGAGATTAACTTTTTTTTTCTGCACGCAGCACAGACAGCACAGTGACATCTTCACAGCTAGAGTTAGCTGGTGCACCCTGTATAATTATGTCCTGCAATAAATCTTGTACGCCTTTGTCATGTCTTTGTGCGCATCGTGCATCGCATATGCGTAGATTTCATCTCGAACTTATCCTTTCCAGATGCAATCACACAGGAGTTGCAAGCATTCGCAGCAACATGCTGGTATCACCTTACCTGAGCAATCTGCCTCTGCAGTGATGCAAACTGCGCCTTTAGGAAGGACACGCTCATTTTCCTCTCATCGGATGTTAGCCGGTGTGCCCAATCTTCAGGAAGTAGCACATGCGACGGCACATGCACAATGTAGCGCTTCATGTACTCCTGCACAAGCATATTAGGGGTGACCCATATAGTATCCACATAAGAGCTTCATACACAAGCACAGCAAAGATGATAAATTTTGCTTTAGTGCTGCTACATTAAGCTTGCATGAACGCAGTAAGTATGCATGAATGTATGCCATAGTGTTCACCAAGTCTCTAATTTCACCAAGTATCTCACAGAATTACCCCTGCAAGTAAAACGAGCATGCTAAACAAATGCAGTTACATTAAAAAGGATTCTAGTCGCGACTTTTCATAGTGTGAAAGCCTGGCAAGAACCAGAAGCTACATATAATATCAAGGTCCTCACACCATTCCCAGATGCACTGAAATGTTACAGTAGAAGTAAAGGAAGCGACTGGATACATGAGCACAAGCCACAGATGGATGCAGATTATGTGCGCACAGCCTCACCAAAGTACCAACTAAATTGATTGCTCTCGTGTCGTAAACTTCCTGCTAACCCACTTTCAGCAAACAGCGAGATTGTGTTACATTAGAACCTGACTGATATATCCTTTGGGGGGACTGTAAAATTAAAAAAAAAACATTGGAGTTGGGAAATCCAAGAGCCAGGACACTGAAAAACTTTAAAAGTGAGAGTTGTAGTGAAATGCATGCAACCTCATTTCAGTGTTCAGGACATCTTATAGCCCTTCATCTTGTAGCCATTCTATGCAGAAAAAATTGTGCTAAAGTAGAAAAGGACATCACGAAAAAGGAACACTGAACAGACTGAGTGCAAGCTACCAACCGTTTTTACTGACTGTACAGCGTCGGTTCAATAGGGAAACCAAAGATAACTGTGCAGACAGGCCAAGGAACATCACTATGTCTGTCTTAGTATGCAGCTCAATATGTCCCCATTACTGTGCCCCAGTATCTAAGACATTCAAACTTGTGTGCTCATCAGGTCTTGGAAACATTCTCCGTCAACATAAAAAGCGATAGCTCTGTAAGTGAGACCTCAGCATCACTCTACGGTGCACAAGTGTCTTTTTGGATGAATAAGGTGCGTTAGCACATTATATTCCTTGGCACGTCTGCACAGCCATTTACGGTTTTCCGATTTAACCAACACTCTACAGTCAATAAAAACAGTTGGTAGTTTGTGCTCCATCTGTTTAGTCTTCCTTTTTTGTGGCATCTTTTTTCTATTTTAGCGCAATTTTTCGTGCTCTATTCAGTGCATGTGTGTGAAAAATGTGGGCTGTGTGGGGGTGCTAACACACCCTTACTTTGCCCCTTGTGGCGCACATGTGTTTCGTGCATAGGCCCCATTTAAGGTTCACAACCATCAAGTGATAAATGGCGTTGTGCTTGCGAGCATTTATCACCATCATCATCATCATCATCATGGTTCACATGGTAGTGCCAGCAGTGACACCTGGCGGTGAGCATCAGTGGCGGCACATGGCACACAAGTGAGTCTCTTTTGTGCGTGGCGGCTGACGTTGATGGTTGTATCGTGAGGGGGCCTTGCAGGCGCGGCGACTGCGAACCGCACCACATGGGTCCCTAGCGGTGAGTCGAACATATTGAAATCTTTCAAGTTTTATGGAGTGCGCAGCCGCCTTAGCTTGAGCTGAAGTAAGACCTGTCAGCAGTTCGGGCTACGCGAAGCGGTAGGAGCCACGCATTCCAACTACACTACGACTGACGCATCGAGACGTATCCAGCATAATATGATTAAAACTTCAGTGTTAGTTGCTGTAAAAAACACTCGATCATAACTGTGAATCTCTTGTGTAGTCTTACGTAAATCAATAAATACATAAAGCGATCTCTCTTAGTCCTCGAGCATTCTCTTTCCACGTCTGCATAGCCTGCACCGACATTCGCCCACAAATGAATTCACTACTTTTCCACCAAGACGCTTCTGCTTTGCGCTGGTGACCGCATCACGTCTTTGCATTGTACCCACCTCCAATTTTTCAGCATTTTTGTTGAATTCAGGGACCATTTCTCGAAAAACAGAATCCACCCATGCTTCCAGCTCATGAGGTGCAATGTGGCCTGATGCCTAAGAGCAAGAGATGGAATGATGGAAAAAGTTAACCCACAGCAAAAAGCTAGCAGTTGCAGTACTCAAGTAATAGCAGACACAACACTGGCACAACAGCCCACAGTTTAAAAAGTATGATCGAAGAAAAGAGGACAAAGAATATGCATATTGAAAAATTTTACAGATCAGCTGATAAGACAGCTCACCACAATGACGACGATGACAGCTGAAGTTGCAGAAACCCTTACTGAAAAAATTGCATATACAGTTAAACCTGGATAACAAAACTGACAAATTCCCGGGAAACTCCTTATATGCTGGTTTAGTACAAAATTCAAAAAATAAACTTAGAAGTAAAACAAAAGGGTAACTGAAGGCAGAGTTAAGCAGAAACACTTACTTAGCAGTAAAGAACTGCATTATTATGGCAATAGCAATTATATGGACACTCTCCACATGTTGTTGCCATCGCCATGATGTTTCGTAAGAAGTTTAAATTAATAACATGCCCCCCCGCATATCTTAACTTTTAGGAGCAGGTAAAAATACGCAAGCGCTGCTGAAACAAGGATCAAATGAGCCGTCCCATCTATCTATCTATCTATCTATCTATATATATATATATATATATATATATATATATATATATATATATATATATATATATAGCCTAGAGGCGTTTACAATAACATCCCCCACGTGTGAGAACTGCTGTCGAATGCTCTAACAGAAAGGAAACCACCCGTATGGAGCAAGCATGAAAAAACGCGAGGAGGGGAAAGGGGGAGTGTCGCTCGAGTGGAACGGTGATATTTGATGTTAAAGTTGCGATCGCTGGCATACGTGCTATCTCGGCAGGCATCGTTGCGCTTTCAATGTGAAGACGCTGTCTGAAAAAGCACTTCTTCCTGAAGTGGCCGTGTTTCCTTACACCAGCATTTTGTAGGAGTTCGACGATATCGGATCCAAGAGAGTAGGCTGCCAGCCTTACTTCGTATAACATTAAAATTTGTTGCTCTCGCATTCATTGCATTGCATTCAACTTGCCATCGTGTTGTTGCCCGAGTTAATCGGCTTATCGCAAAAGCTAGAGTTCCTCGAACTCGCGGCGCAAACGCAAACGCGTGATGGGTCAACCTCCGAAGATCCGTTGCCATGGCCGCGGTCTCGGAGAGTTTTCATCGGCTTGTAATCTGACATCCCCCCAGTAGTGACAACACGGTTGTACGCATTAAAAAAAAAAAAGCAAAGCTGAATGTCGTCGAGGGTCACACCATGCACATGCAGTGAGACCATGCGTGTGCACACAGCATCAAAAATTAAGAGCGAACGATGCGGATACTGTTGAGAACTGTTCAGTGGTAGGGCGCCCTCCATATTCATCGCGCCCCCAGATATTTGACGCTAACTGAAAGCGTGAGGTGTTCTGTGGTGGCACTGCCAACGCAAAAGTAGTTTTTTTTTTTTTTTTTTTTCCCAATTTGGAGGCGGAGGAGGCACAATCACGCAAGCGCCCATAGTGGCAACACCGGCTTGTGGGGTGCAGGCCCACCTCGCGCACACCCCCGCGCAATAATAAATGCTCTTCCTCGCCTGGGAGTAGTAGCCAGGACCACAAGCACGCTGCCGCCGCTTCGCGCTTTTTTTGTGGCAGAGCAACAGCAGAAATTGCATGCTCGTGCCAAAATGACAAAATCCGGGGCAGAATTCCTAGATTTTTCGTGTCCAAAATTCGTTATATGAAGGTTGTCTCCCGCTGTTAGTTTGTTGCATAGAAGTCGCCAATACATGTGCCTTTATGTAGTAATGATGGGGAATAGAAGAACTTTGTTATATAGAGGAACTCATTATTGATTATATCGAGGTTTGTTATAAGCAGGTTTAACTGTATATTTAGGGTCTTCTACACACATCATCTACTACACATGCATCAGTACACCATCTCTTTATTAGTAGGTTGTAGGGACGGCACACTTACACAATCCTCTCACACAGAGGAAAAGCACTCTGCTCCCAAGTTTTCTTGAGTGATTCACGTTTTGCTCTTCGTGATGGGGGATATGTTGATGAGGTCGGAAGTGACCCTAACAAGTTCACAGCTCATCATCGTCATTTGTGTTCCATACCTTACGTGTTTCCTGCGCTGCAGTGAGCCACAATTATGTACCAACAAACCCAACTCGCCCCTTTAAGCAATCAATTCGCACGTGTAAGGCATGAGTGTCGTCCACCCAAGTTCATCAAAGCAAACACAGGGGTCGGTTATTTTGCTACAAGTGCATCTATGCTTTGCTGCACATTTTTTTTTATCAAGCTTGGCATATGTCAGTGCCAGTCTCATTCCATCATGCACCTAGATGCCCATGCTGCTCACAGCCATCACAATAACTTAGACTAACAAATGCTGAAAACACAAGACAGATTTCCTACATGGCTGGGAGCCATTAACTTTCTAAATGTTATTAGATCCCTCAAAATGTCATATCTATAGTCATTAAATGATATGAAACAATGTGGGGACTGGAGAGGCTGGATAATAAAGCAGCAGTCTTCATTCATACGTCATGTTCTAGAACAGTCAGGTGGATCAAGACTTTTCTTGTACGCAAAGAGTTATTTTGCTCTACATTTTCCTTTAACATTCAAACTTCGTAGAAGTCTTGACAACTACAGATGAGCTTTTATGCTCACTATTGTGCCGGTTATGTAAAATGTAGTTAGGAATAATGAAGAAATAAATAAAAGCCAATAATAGAAGTCTCTCACCTTGTCCTGCAGTGCAGTCTTGAGGGTCTCGAGGCACTTTTCAGTGTAGTCAAACCAGACATTATACACTAGCAAAAAAAGAGAAAGAGAATGAACTACATGTTCTGCTCGCCCCAAGCACAAAAGTGGTGGCCTGGCTTTTCACTAAGTCCTCCACTACACCACGTTGTCTAACAATATGACTAACCCCTATATTCAGAAACGCTCCTTGACTTGAACTTGACTTGCAACCACCTTCAATGCTGCCCAAGCACATTGCGAACACGCTGCTTTAGGCAGCACCAAGGCAGCCCAAATACAAAAGCGTGTTTCCAACACGCTTGTGCAGCCAGTGGCAAGTTCAAGTTAAGGAGTGTTTGTGAATGCAAGGCTAAGTAGGCAGCATACAAAGATTGCTAGTTGGTTGGTGGCTTACATGAAAGGCTAACCATACCAACAGGACCAAACAAAAAGTAGTTCCCAGATCCAGTGTGAGCTGTTCCTCTGTACCGTCATGGCAGGTTCCATTTCAACCATGTTACACCAATTAGGTGATTGATGATAGGTGGGGTTTAACGTCCAAAAACCACCATATGATTATGAGAGACGCCGTAGTGGAGGGCTCCGGAAATTTTGACTACCTGGGGTTTTTTAACGTGCACCCAAATCTGAACACCAATTAGGTGGGTAATAGCCGAAATCATGATGCTTTCTGCAAATGCTTTATATAAGACATATTTGTCAGAATGCACATCTTTTGGTACCACAGCTTAGACCGTGAGCCACATGAATACCTCAAACTTTATGAAGAAGCACAGCCCATGCTGGACTTTTCACTGAAGCGTAAGACAAGTCGGGCGCGGCATAACTTCCCATTGACTTTCAATCCAGCAAAGCAGGGTGCTTTAGGCCTCCTAGCTTTTAAGGAAAAAAACTAAAAAACTGAACCAGGTTGGATATCCCACATCGGCATGTAAGCCTTGCTGCCGCACACATGGGCATCGGCAGGGAGTGCAAAAGAGGCACTTGCCTCCCTGAAGCCTCACCAGCACTTGCCTTCACCCAAAGTATACACAGGCACGCTCGCCTCCTGCGGCTGCAATGCGACACTAGTTTGCGCTCCCTGGGACGAAATCCTGCCAGCGACCATGGCTGCACGCTAAGCTGAAATGACTAACCTAAAACAGAAACCTAATGCAGAATAACCTAATAATGCAGAATAAATGACCTAATGCCTGGGCTCGAGTCTGTACTTTCTTAGCACAGGTTGCTTAAGAACAGTGCACAACACCTGTAATATGCACTCCCATAACTTACGACACAATGCAGAATGCTACTGTATTCTCAACTGAACCAAAAATTCAGCAACTTTCTTTTTCTTTTAAACTGTTCGCAGAGTACACAGTTGCTCAGACCTCTTCATTTTTCTGACCACGTTTTTTATGTTTATCGTTGTTGCAAGCACAAAATCAGGAAATTATACAACTATATATGAAGAGTGTTAACTTTCCTGCAAATGGAATAACATGTCCACATATTTCTCCACCATGAGAGACACTTTTTCCAGGAGTGCCTTATAAATGCAATTAAGAGACTTTCTGTTGAACACGGCAATGACGTAACATTTAATCAAGGGAATCAACACCGGCAAAAGAGCAATCACATGAATACAACAGCTAATCTAATGCTTCGGCTACCTCCTCGTTATTCTACATTTGTATGACTTGCAGCACTGCCTATCGTGCGGCTGTTTTGCGAGTTTGTGTATTACTTTTCGAACACCTTACGTTTGATTCCACCCTTCAATAATTCGTATTATTATGTCAAGCATGTAACTTTTAATTACGCAAGCGCATTAATGAATATGCAAAGAGTAGTATCACTGTACTAATATGGCAAACTTATCATTTGTACAGTTCGATTAAACCACGGACAATTTTTCTTGTGCTGAATGCCTTGGCATATTTGCCCGCTGGTTCTATGCGGTTCCGCGCAACATTACGTTGAGCCTTTCCATTGCCGATGACGCGTGTGCATGCAGAAGGCGAGGCGGTGCAGATGCGAGCCGCCGTCCGTGCGCAGGCAACGGCACCGCACGATGCGAGTAACAAGGCGAATTCGGAGCACTCGAGACGTTCCGCTTCGATCAACGGCCACGCATCTCTCACCGAAGGACGTCAACGAAAAGCAATACTTGGCTGCGAATTGAAAACGACACCGGCCGCTGGAACACTAAACCGCGTCCTGCGGTTTGAACACCGCCTTACCACAGTCAACAATGCTTTTCGGCGAAACGCCAAAATGCTGAACAGCGTAGCTGCCATCCGTCATTGTTCTGGTTAGGGTCTTCCCTCAACGAAAGAAGGGAAACTGTAGCAGCAGAGTGTACCAGGTTGTTTTTAAACGGCACGACCGAAGCCCGCGCACAGAGAACATATTATGCAAACTTGGTGTGTGTGTGTATGTGCATAGCCTCCTATATAACTTTTGTGCCCGCGCATTGGCGCTAAATACATACGCGCCATCCGTCCCTCATAGTTTTGGCGCTTGCCGCTAGAAGCCGCACCAATCCCAGGGGCCTAAATAATAACAGCAGACGACGCGGCTATGGTGGCCATAATTGGGCCACCCAATTCTAGCCACCATAACGCGGCCTATGCACGCTTGCGTTTATGACGGTGTAGAAACCGTCTACATTGCATTGGATTATGCGCATACGTTAAGAAGTGCGCACACAAAAATTTTTAACACAAGCACTGTATGCAGAATGCAATGCGAGCTTTTTTATTTGATTTCGCGCTCAAAGCTTGAGCACTTTTCGAGACAACGGTTTGACATGAAAATCTTTCGCCAAGTCGCGTTTGTCAGTCACACTCGTCACGAAGTTCAGAAAAAAGTGGGCGGAGAAACTTCACGAGCACAACCTCCAAAAGTTTTTCATGATGTCCCGGGGTCGAGCACTTGAGTTTGTCACGTTTTTATAGTATTTCCGCGGCGTTGTCAGCGGCAGCCTTCAGTGGCTGGCTCATCTTTCTCGCTCTTGCGAGGAAAACTTCCGCGTAATTCTTTAGAGAATGGAGAACCATTACGAGCTCAGTTGACAGATAGAGGAGTCCACCTCTGTCCTGGTGCCTAATTAAGGCATCCGATGGCGCAGAGGTATTTGGTTTAGTCACCAGAGTGAAGCATTCATCACAGGAAATGGTTTCGTGTACTGTTCTTGCAATATAGCCTCCAACCATTGCTAGTGCAGCTACATCTGGCGTTAGGAGCAACGTCTTCCCCCTGTCGAGACTCTCCTCGAGGGTGGTGGTTGCCTCTGCTCCAAATGCTTCACCGTCATTCTGCGCTGCTCTTGCCGATCGCAGTAGGAGTGCTGATGAGGAACAGCTGCTGCTGTCTGCAGTAATCATGTTGCTGCTGCTGTACGTGCAGGCTATGCCAGACTTCAGTGCTTTCTCAATCCCAGACAAAACTGCCCTCACGTCTGTTTGGTCGTTCGAGCCTGCAGATTTCCTCAACCAGCCAAATAAGGCCTCTATTGGGTCAGAGGACATCTTCCTAGTCAGAACGAAACGGAAGCGTGTGGCCGTGAGAAGGTACCGAACGCACTCCACATTTGAGATGGTTGTTATCAGCAAGACCTCGTACGTTTCCTTGGTCAGAAAATTCTTAGCCGGGCTCTGCCGCTTGATTTCGGCCATGTAGTCAAGAAATGATGTTCCAAGCCAACCTAGCCGTTCGTCGTCTTCGGATTCGTACTGCTTGCTGTCCGGGTTGTTCTGGTGGACATGCTGGGTGCAGTTGCTTAAGTCCATGAGGGTGAACCACCGGTACATGGTGTCGATGAATACGACGGTTGGACCAACGTGGGCGAAGCTTGCGTCACATGTATGACCTGCCTGCTCTTTCAGGAGCTTCAGGGCCGCGGTCACAGGTGGCGAAACGACTTGCACTGCCCTCCTGACGTTCATTTTTTCCATGCTAGTCGGATGTACGTGCTTTCTTGTCAAGAACCGCACTAGCTTGACAATACTGCACTGTTGCATTTTGTAGAGGTCTTCCAGGTACTGGGCGGTTATTTCGCCATCCTTTCCGATATCGCGTGACAGAAACTGTGACCGTACGTTTTTAATTAAATGGCACTGATCGAAAGCGAGAAAAAGTTTACCATCTTGATTTGTCGGATGTGGTATGCAGTGCTTGAGGTTACCCCCCCCCCCCCCAATAGCAGTTGGAACGCCTTCACGTTAATCTGATGGTTGTCGGTAACGATCCACACGATTCTAAAGCCTATACTCTCAACTTCTTTGAGTACGTTCATCATGATCTGGTGAAGGTTTTCACCGGTGCAGTTTCTAGTAAAAAAATAGGCTACGGGAATCTTATATCTCGTTGACAAGCCACTTAAAATGAAGCAAAGCAGCGAGTTTGCAAGAACTGGCTCTTCTGGCTTGCCCGGTTGCTTCTGCGGCAAGCAGTCACCGTAGTCTACTTCGCCAACGAAGGCATCTCTCTGCTTGAGATAGAGTAAGCGCTGCTTGACTCTCATTTCGTCCACAATGAGCGAGCACGTCTGTGACTGAGAACTCGCGTGTGAAGCGAGCTCAGCTGACAGCCTCTGCTTAATCAAGTCTGTGACGCCTACTTCATTGCGTGACGAACCGAAAAAGCGCTCCAGCGTGCTTCGACAGGGTAGGCGGAGTAGCCCTGAGCTCCTTATGTGTTCGTATGCCCTCGCTGAGAGGTTACGAAGTACCACTGCGTGGCGGACTGTAACTTCGGACCACGTCGGTTTCACCTTCTGAAAACTTTTGACCTGCTCCAGCAGTATTGAGGCAGCCAACTCATTTTCACTTGCCTGCTCGACAACCTGCAAAAACGCTGGGACATAGCAGTCTACTTTAAGTTTCTGAAGCTCCCTTTTATGTTTTTCAACAGTTCCTTTGAGCCTTTCAACCTGCGCCCTCAGTTCGCGTTCCTTACGCTTCCACTTCCGTCTTTCGATAGTTGGCAACGAAATGCGTGAGGCTACTTGCACTGCTCTATCCACCTGCACCGTTCTGATTGATTGATTGATATATGGTGTTTAACGTCCCAAAACCACGATATGATTATGAGAGACGCCGTAGTGGAGGGCTCCGGAGATTTCGACCACCTGGGGTTCTTTAACGTGCACCCAAATCTGAGCACACGAGCCTACAACATTTCCGCCTCCATCGGAAATGCAGCCGCCACAGCCGGAATTTGAACCCGCGACCTGCGGGTCAGCAGCCCAGTACCTTAGCCACTAGACCACCGCGGTGGGGCACCTGCGCCGTTCTCGGGACGAAACCTTGATCAGTCCTGCTGCTGGAGTTGGGCACTTCTTCAACAAGTAGGGCGTCCGAAGTGCACGACTGATCATCTCGTAAGTCCGTAAACACATGTGGTGCGCCACCACCGACTGCTCTTTTTTTTTTTTTTTCTTGCTGGCTCGTCAGTTTATACAGCCGCAGCACGCTTCCTGAGGGTCGCATCGCTTCTTTCGGTTTGTTTTCAAGGTCGCAAATACGACGGGTACTCGTGGAAGACGCTGGGCACAGAGCCTTTTTTCAGTCTTCGCGTCGTGCACCCTTCTTTAAAGTCTGATGGGACGAAGTGTCGGCTGCAAACGGTAGAATAGCAAGATGTGCTGTTAGGGGTACAGTTGTCTCTCGAGATTACCTTAAGCCACTTTTCGCGAAGTTCTTGGTCGCTCGGAATTTCGTGAAAAGATACTCCGGTTTCTTTCCGGCCGCTCCATGATTTGCAGCGTGGTACCATGGTCCTTCAATATTTTTACTTCAAAAAGTATTGAATACTTCAATACTTCAAAAAGTATTGAAGGACCATGGTGGTACTCAGCAGTACGGCATTGTGGAGCGTTCGGGGCGCAGCCAAACTTCTGACCATGCATAAACAGCCGCCTTTCTTTTTACGGTAGTGCTGCAGATAACTAAAATACAGCGTTTAGGCACAATTTCTTGCAGCAAGTGGATTTTTTAACGATGTAACACTTTTAACAAAGAACTTACCCGAATCGGCCAAAAGTTGGGAGAAAGCGCACTTGATACAGTCACGGCTGTCTCAGCGAGCGCTGCACTTAACGAAGCTCTTGGGGAAGACTATCGTGCCAGAAAAAACATCAAGGGCAAGCAGAAAACACAATGGGCCAAGCAGAGTTTTACATCGAGCACGGCAAACCAAATTTGCGCGCGACGGGAAAACCGCGGCGTAGCCACAGAACACCTACCAGTTGTAGCGGTTGTGCGCCTGCTGCTGCAGCAAACGCGGCGCGAGAGAGGAAAATGCATAAAACTGGGCGCGAGCTGGATGGATGAATGGATGGATATGGCCGTACCCTTTAGATCGGGCGATGGCTAGCGCCACCAAGCCAAAATACTTAATGAACCAAAAATTACATTTTTTTTTTTTTGGGCAGAGACCACTGCGCCGCGCGGCGCACGAGCCACCCCCACTCAAAAACGGCTACTGCACCGCACGAAAGTGACGTCATGCATTTTCCGGTTAGGCGCTTTGTTTGAATAGTCGGGAGTGTCTAGCGGTACGTCTAGTCATATAACGATAAAAGCAGTTAAAGTTACGTCCAAACAAAAAAGTGAACAAAAATGTTAGTTAGGTTTAGCGTGACAATACAAAATCGGCTTGTTTGCCATGTAAAACTGATCGGCAGCTGTGGCGTTGTTTCCGGCTTTTTGCAGAGAAGGCAATCAACACCCCAAGGAACGAATAAGCCTTTTTCTTGCATCCATGTTTTCACGGGCAAGGTCCCAGTGTGCAACTTAAAGAAAAAGGATTTCGCTCCAGGGTTACCTCCATTTTTTTAACACGGCTTAAGACATTTTGGCCTGGGCCTACACGGTATAATGCTCTATATAAGGGGAACAGGAAGAACTGTTTCTACTAAATCTTTGTATAACTTTTTACGCGAAACCGTACTGAGGTATTCCAATGAAAAACGCGTTTTTAGAAAGAGACATGAATCAACAACTTCTTTTAAGAAACCTCTAACACTTGCTTTCATGTTAACAGATGCTGCCACAAATTCTGGCAACCGTCTTCCAAGCCTAAGCTGTATTACAGTACGTATGAATGGGTCTTGATTATTTCGGAAAAACATAAACCGATTAACTGACTGACGAAGGTACAAATGACACAGACCAAGTCCTCCAGAGCGAACCCGTCTGAATAAGTTAGTTCTACTTGTTCGCTCCCAAGAAGAACCCCACAAGAAAACAGCAAATATTCGATGAAGCTTCTGTAAATTCACACGTGAACAATGCATTACCTGAACCTTCTACAGATGAAGGAATTTTAAAAAGCCTGTTAAATATGATGCTTTTTACCTCTTTTTTTTTATTTCATGTTTCTACTTTGTTTGATGTATATATGTTTGTGAATGTTGTATGTAAACAGGCAATAAAGAAAGAAAAAAAAGGCAGCTGTGG